GGGGAAGCCCAATATTGGAGGAGCTCACTACAGGGAGAGCCCTATATCGGGGAAGCCCACTATCTGGGGAGCCAAATATCAGGGGAGCCAAATATTGGGCTAGCCCTCAATCGGGTGAGCCCACTATCAGGGGAGCCCAAAATCGGTGGAGTTCACTAGCCGGAGAGCTGAATAACAAGGGACCACAATAATGGGGAAGGCCAATAAATTGGGAGGCCAGTGTTGGGGGAGAGCACTATCTTGAAAAACCAATATCAAGAGAGCTCACTATCAAGAGACGTCAATATCGGGGGAACCCAATAACGATGGGGATTAATACTGGGGGAGTCCAATATCGGGGAGCCTAATATCGGGGCCAATAATGTGGGAGCCCACTATCGGGAGCCCAATATTGCGGAAGCCCTCAATTGGTGGAGCCCATTAACCGGGGAGCCATCTCTCAGGAGAGCCTACTATCTGGGGAGACAACTATAAGTGGAGGTGCTCCATTTTCGGGGAGCCCAAGGTTAAGGGAGCCTACTATGGGGGAAATCACTATCGGACGAGCTCAACATCAGAGAATCACATCATCAGTGAGCCCAATATCGGGGTAGCCCAATATCCGGGAGCCATCTGTCGGGGGAACCTAATATCTGGGGATTCAACTATAGAGGGAGCCTAATATTGGGGGAGCCCACTGTATGGAGAGACTTATATCGGGGAAGCCCACTATCTGGGGAGCCAAATATCAGGGGAGCCAAATATTGGGCAAGCTCTCTATTGCGATAACCCAATTGCAGAACCCAATTACAGGGGAGGCCTATGTTGGGGGAATCCAATATCGGGTGAGCCAACTATTGAAGCACACCGATATCGGGGTGCCCAATAATGGGGGAGACCAATATTGGGGGATTCCACTATTGGGGGAAGCCTAATACCGAGGAAACCTATATTGGGGGGAACAACTATAAATGGAGGTGCTCCATATTCGGGGAGCCCAAGGTTGAGGGAGCCTACTATGGGGGAAATCACTATCGGACGAGCTCAACATCAGAGACCCACATCATCAGTGAGCAGTACCTACTATCGGGGCAGCCCAATATTGGGGGAGGCCCTATCGGGTGAGCCCAATATCGGGGGAGCCCATTATCAGGGCAGCACAATAACGTGGGAGACCGATATGGGTGAACCCAATATTGGGGGAATCAACTTTTGGAGAGCCTACTGTCAGGGGAGCCACTATGGGGAGAGCTCATATCAGGGGAGCCATCTATCAGGGCAGCCAAATAACGGGGGAGACCAAGATTGGGCGAACCCAATTTTGGGAGAATCCAACTTTTGGAGAGCCTACTATCAGGGGAGCCACTATGGGGAGAGCCCATATCGGGAGAGCCCACTATCGAGGGACCTCAATATCGGGGAGCCCAATAATGGGGAAGACCAATTTTGGAGGACCGCATTACCTGGGATTCCGCTATATGGGGACATCAATATTAGCAGAGCCCAATAGTGGGGAGATGATTATCAGGGGAGATCACTATCAGGGGAGCCCAATAACAGAAGTACCCAATATTGGGCGAGGCCAATATTGGGGAATGAGCACAATATTGGTGGAATCCAATTTTTGGAGATCTTATTATCGGAGGAGCCACTCTCGGGAGAGACCACTATCGAGGCTATTCACTGTTGGGGGTGCTCAAAGGCTAATATTGAAGGAGCCACTATCGGGCGAGTCCAATATCGGGGGAGCCCACTATCGAGGACCCCCAATATCGGGGAACCCAATAAAGTGGGAGACCAATATTGGGGGAATCCAATATCGGGAGCATAATATCGTGGAACCCAATATTTGGGGAAACTCACTATCGGGGGAGCCCAATATTGGGAAGCCCAATATTGAGGTTTGCCAATTTTCGAGGAACCCACTATCAAGGGACCCCAATATGGGCTAGCCCTCTGTAGCCCAATATTGGGGAGCGAATTGTCAGGTTAACACACTATCATGGAGCCATCTGTCAGGGGAACCTAATATTTGGGGATCTGATCATCGGGGTAGCCCAATATTGGGGGAGCCCAATGTAGGGAGACATTAATATCGGGGAAACCCACTATCTGGGGAGCCAAATATCAGGGGAGCCAAATATTAGGGAAGCCTACTAATGGGGGGGACCACTGTTTGGAATGCCCACTATCGGAATAGCCCACTATCAAAGGACACCAATATTGGGGGAAGCCAATTTTGGACTAACCCACTATCGAGGGACCCCAATATCAGAGAAGACCTCTATTGGGATAGCCCAATATGGGAGAGCCCAATTACAGGGGAGGCCAATATTGGGGGAATCCAATATAGGGGGAGCCTAATATTGGGTATCCCAATATTGCGTGAGCCCGTTATCAGGAAAGCGCAATATCGGGGGAACCCGCTATCGGGGAACCAATATCGGGGAGGCCACTATCGTGGGAGCCCAATACCAGAGGACACCAATATTGGAGGAGCCCAATAGCGGGGTAGCCTACTATTGGGGCCCCTAATGTTGGGCTTCCATCATAGTGGGGTTCCCCGATATTAGGCTCCTCCCATACAGGACTCCCCTAATGAAGGCCTCCCCGCTATTGGGCTCCAACAATATTGGGGTCCCCATTATTTGCTTCCCTATTATTGCGGTCCCCTCGAAATTGCGCTTGCCCAATAGTGGGCTCTCCGAAAATTGCATTTCCCATTATCATGGTCCTTTGATAGTGGGCTCCCCTGGTCGTGGACTCCCCCGATAGTGGGCTACCCCAATAGTGGACTCCCCGATATTTGGCAACCCGATAGTGGGCTCCCTTGTTATTGGGCTCCCCCTTGTTGCGTTCCACCAGTAGTGGGCTCCCCCGACATTGGGCTGCCATGGTAGTGGGCATCCCTCAATATTGGAATCCCTTGTTATTTTGCTTGGCCGATTATGGGATCTCCGAAAATTAGATTTCCCCAATATTGTTGCCACTGAATATTGGGATCCACCGATATTGGGGGGACCCTCGCTAGTGGGCTCTCCCAATATTCAGCTCTCAAGATAGTGGGCTCCCAATGTATTGGCCTCTCCCATTATTGGACTCCCCCGATATTGGAGCACCATCGATAATGGGCTCCCCAGTATTCGACTCCCCAGTATTGTGCTGCCCCGATGATGGGCTTCCCCGTCATTAAGCTCTCTCAGAATTGGTCTCCCTGATAGTGGGCTTCCTCGTTATTGGGCTCACTTGATATTGGGTTTCCACCGATAGTGGGCTTCCCCGATATTGGGCACCCTTTTTAGTGATTTCCACCTATGTTGGTCTTCCCTGATTGAGGGTCTGCAGATATTGAGCTCCCTTGATTTTCGGCTCCCGCGATAGTGGGCAAGCATGATATTGGTCTGGCCTGATTTTAGACTACCCCTTTGTTGGGGGTGGGGGGTGGCGATACTGGCCTCACCCGTCATTGGGCTTCTCTGATATTGGTTTCCTTCAATAGTGGGCTAACCGGGACAGGGGGCTGGAAGCGGGTCTGGGGCCTGGAAGCATGTCCGGCAACTGGAAGTGGGCTGGGGGACTTAGAGGGGGTCCGGGGCTTCGAAGCGGGTCGGTGCCTCGAAGCGGGTCCGGGGTCTGGAAGCAGGTCCAGGGGCTGTAAGCGGGTCCGGGGGCTGTAAGCGGGTCCGGGGGCGGGAAACGGGTCCGAGGCCTCGAAGTGGGTCAGGGGCTGGAAGCGGGTCCAGGGGCTGGAAGCGGGTCCAGGGGCTGGAAGCGGGTCCGTGTCCTCGAAGTGGGTCCACGGGCTGGAAGCGGATCCGGGGGCTGGAAGCGCTGCCGGGTGCTGGAAGCGGGGCTGGGGGCTGGAAGCGGGTCCAGGGCTTGGAAGCGGGTCCAGGGCCTGGAAGCATGTCCGGCGCCTGGAAGCATGTCCGGCGCCTGGAAGCATGTCCGGCGCCTGGAAGCGGGGCCGGGGACTGGAAGCGCTGCCAGGGGCTGGAAGCGGGGCCGGGGGCTGGAAGCGGGGATGGGAGCAGGAAGCGGGTCAGAGGGCTGGAAGCGGTTCCTGGGGTTGGAAGCAGGAGCGGGGGCTGGAAGCATGTCCGGACTGGGAACGGGTCGGGGCTGGAAGCGGGTCCAGGGGCTACAAGTGGATCTGGGACCTGGACACGGGTCTGAGGCCTGGAAGCGGGTCCGGGGCCTCGAAGCGGGTCTTGGGCTATAAGCGGGTTCAGGGGCTGGAATTGGGTCGGGGACTTGGAGCCGGTCGTGGCCTCGAAGCGGGTCAGGGGCTGGAAGCGGGTCCGGGGCCTCGAAGCGGGTCGGTGCCTCGAAGTGGGTCCGTGGGCTGGAAGCGGGTCCGGGGGCTGGAAGCAGGGCTGGAGGCTGGAAGCGGGTCAGAGGGCTGGAAGCGGTTCCTGGGGTTGGAAGCAGGTCCGGGAGCTGGAAGCGGTTCTGGGGGTTGAAAGCAGGAGCGGGGGCTGGAAGCATGTCCGGACTGGGAGCGGTTCGGGGCTGGAAGCGGGTCCAGGGGCAACAAGTGGGTCTGGGACCTGGACGCGGGTCTAGGGCCTGGAAGCGGGTCCGGTGCCTAGAAACGGGTCCGAGGGCTGGAAGCGGGTGGAGTGGGGTGGAAACAGATCCGGGGTCTGGAAGCATGTCCGGGGCTTCGAAGCGGGTCTTGGGCTACAAGCGGGTTCAGGGGCTGGAATTGGGTCGGGGATTTGGAGCGGGTCGGGCCTCGAAGCGGGTCAGTGGCTGGAAGCGGGTCCGGGGGCTGGAAGCGTGTCTGAGGCATCGAAGCGGGTCAGGGGATGGAAGCGGGTCTGGGGGCTGTTAGCGGGTCCGGGTGCTGGAAGCGGGTCCGGGGCTTGGAAGCATTTCCGGCACCTGGAAATGGGGGCGCGGGCTGGAAGCAGGGCCGGGGGTTGGAAGCGCAGCCAATGGCTTGAAGCGCGGCCGGAGGCTGGAAGTGGGGCTGCGGGCTGGAAGCGGGTCCGGGGGCTGGAAGCGGATCCGGGGCCTCAAAGTGGGTCAGGGGCTGAAAGCGGGGCCGGGGGCTGGAAGCACTGCCAGGTGCTGGAAGCGGGGCTGGGGGCTGGAAGTGGGTCCAGGGCTTGGAAGCGGGTCCAGGGCTTGGAAGCATATCCGGCACCTGGAAGCATGTCCGGCGCCTGGAAGCGGGGCCGGGGGCTGGAAGCGGGGCCGGGGGCTGGAAGCGGGGCCGGGGGCTGGAAGCGGGGCCGGGGGTTGAAAGCAGGAGCGGGGGCTGGAAGCATGTCCGGACTGGGAACGGGTCGGGGCTGGAAGCGAGTCCAGGGGCTACAAGTGGATCTGGGACTGGGACACGGGTCTGAGGCCTGGAAGCGGGTCCGGTGCCTCGAAGCGGGTCTTGGGCTATAAGCTGGTTCAGGGGCTGGAATTGGGTCGGGGACTTGGAGCCGGTCGTGGCCTCGAAGCGGGTCCGGGGGCTGGAAGCGGGTCCGTGGGCTGCAAGCGGGTCCGTGGGCTGCAAGCGGGTCCGTGGGCTGGAAGCGGGTCCGGGGGCTGGAAGCGGGTCCGGGGGCTGGAAGCGGGTCCGGGGGCTGGAAGCGGGTCCGGGGGCTGGAAGCGGGGCCAGGGGCTGGAAGCGGGTCAGGGGGCTGGAAGCGGGTCAGAGGGCTGGAAGCGGTTCCTGGCGTTGGAAGCGGGTCTGGGAGCTGGAAGCGGACCTGGGCGTTGAAAGCAGGAGCGGGGGCTGGCAGCAGGTCCGGACTGGGAGCGGGTCGGGGCTGGAAGCGGGTCCAGGGGCTACAAGTGGATCTGAGGCCTGGAAGCGGGTCCGGTGCCTGGAAGCGGATCGGGTAAGGTGGAAACAGATCCGGGGTCTGGAAGCGTGTACGGGGCCGAAGCGGGTCTTGGGCTGTAAGCGGGTTCAGGGGCTGGAATTGGGTCGGGGACTTGGAGCGGGTCGGGACCTCGAAGTGGATCTGGGGGCTGGAAGCGGGTCCGTGGGCTGGAAGTGGGTCCGGGGGCTGGAAGCGGGTCCGGGAGCTGGAAGCGTGTCTAGGGTCTCGAAGCGGGTCAGGTCTGGAAGTGGGTCCGGGGGCTGGAAGCGGGTCCGGGGCATGGAAGTATTTCCATCACCTGGAAATTGGGCCGGGGGCTGGAAGCGCAGCCGATGGCTTGAAGCGCGGCCGGGGGCTGGAAGCGGGACTGCGGGCTGGAAGCGGGGCCGGGGGCTGGAAGCCTGTCCGGCGCGTAGAAGCGGGGCCGGGGGCTGGAAGCCTGTCCGGCGCGTAGAAGCGGGGCCGGGGGTTGGAAGCCTGTCCGGCGCGTAGAAGCGGGGCCGGGGGTTGGAAGCGGGGCCGGGGGCTGGAACAGCGGCCGGGGGCTGGAAGCAGGGCTGGAGGCTGGAAGCGGGCCGGGGGGCTGGAAGCGGGTCCGGGGCTGGAAGCGCGTCCGGGGCCTGGAAGCGGGGCCGGGGGCTGGAAGCGGGGCCGGGGGCTGGAAGCGGGGCCGGGGCTGGAAGCGGGTCAGAGGGCTGGAAGCGGTTCCTGGGGTTGGAAGCAGGAGTGGGGAAGATACTGAGTATCTTTGATAAGGAGTGCCAGATAAAACACAAAATACTGCAGATGGTGAAAATCTGAAAACAATACAAGTGGCTGGGAACCCTCAGCAGGTCAGGCACATCTATGAAGAAAGGAAAGTGAGTCAATGTTTTGGGTCCATGAACCTTCGTCAGAACTGGGGCATGTTGGGAGAGGCTTTTAAGGGCTGACAGAGAGGCGGGAGGTAGGGCAAGGTAAACAAAGGAGAAAATGGGGTAGAGGGCAGAGATAATGGGTTAAAGAGATGTTAATGATGCAAAACAAAGGATGGGGGAGGGGAATTGCAACAAAACAGAGAATAGAGATGTTAATACTGCAGAACAAGGATGTACTGATAAATTGATAGATTGGCAGCAAGGCAGCAATTAAGGTGATCAGGCCATGACAATACTAAACACCTTGGCAGACCCAAGTTTCACTTCATGAGAGAGAGAGAGAGAGAGAGGACAACTGGATTAAAGAGGTTTGGATTATTTATTTATTATTCAGAACTCTGCAGCTCGTGTACTGTCCCGCACCAGGCTTCGCGACCACATCATCCCACCCTCGCCCTCGCTCGCCTCCACTGGCTCCCCATCCCCCAGAGGATCGAATTTGAGATCCTCATCCTCACCTACAAGGCCATTCACGGCCTCGCTCCCTCCTACCTCTCCGACCTACTATTCCCCCACGTGCCTGCCCGTACCCTCTGTTCCTCTGGCTCTGGTCTGCTCCACATCCCCCGCCCCAACCGCCCTACCATCGGTGGCCAGGCTTTCAGCCTCTCAGCCCCAAGGCTCTGGAACTCCATCCCCCAGTGCTTTCACCTTGCTTCCTCCCTTTCCTCCTTCAAGGCCTCAAGACCTTTCTCTTCAACCATGCCTTCAGCTCCCCTCTTGCCTCTCTACTCCCTCCCTTCCCTCCCCTCACCCTGACCATTTCCCCCTGCTCGGGTCCCGACCCAACTGTCCATCACCTTGGGACGTCCCCCTGACGTGAAAGGTGCTCTATAAATGCAATCTTGTTGTTGTTGTTATTTGGGGGGTCATCTTCCTCACTTGGCAACGGACTGTCAAAATTAAGTTCACCCTCTGTTGTGGTCTTTCTCGCTCTGTCTCTCTCATTCCAATTGCTGAGCCAGGCAGGTCCACACCACTCCAGGGCTCTGCTGATGGCTGCCCAGCCCAGCCTGGCTCGTCGGTAGAACTTGGATGGACAGACCAGTCAGTCAGTCTGGGAAGCAAACATTTTTTGCAATTGGCTGCTGCTAACACTGCAAGCCAAAGCCCCACGGGTAGGGTAGGGTTTTTGACGTATTTTTACAACAAATGAAATATTGTGTAGAGATTGTAACAACTCCAGGCTGGCACAGGGAAATGGTGGGAGTATGGGGGTGAAGAGGTGAATGCCAGAGGAGGGCGTCAAGATCGAGGGTGGGGGGAGTTGACTCCATGTTGCTCTGCGTAGGACATTTCTATTATCAAAGAAACACTTCCTGGAGGCTGTCCTTCACTTTGAACTTGTGAAGCAATATTTTGTCTCTAATCTGAAAACCACAGTTTGCTATTCACGCTGTTAATGTAACAAGCAGAACTTTGCAAACCAGAAGTCGCAATTCATCCAATTAATCAAATATTAAAAGGATTACAATTTCGCCCTCAATTTATATATTAACCCTGACAATATTGACAAAATGGTCAATATTCTGCAAACAGAAATCTTCAATCACTGTTTTCTGGCGTCCTCCAGGGCTCAGTTCTTGTCTCCTCTTTAATATCTACATGCTCCCCCTTGGTGACATCATCCACAGACATGGGGTCAACTTCCACGTGTATGCAGATGTCACCCAACTCTATCTTGCTACCTCCACCCCCAGACCCACTGCTGTCCTGACAGACTGTCTGTCGGACATCAAGTCCTGGATGAGGGCAAATTTCCTACAGTTGAATATGAACAAGACTGAGGCCCTCCTGATTGGCTCACGGCAGCGCCTCAGCACCTCAGGCTCTGGCAGCATCACCCTCCATGGTGTACACTACAACTCACCAGTCAGTCAGGAACCCGGGTGACTTGTTCAACCCTCAACTGTCTTTTCTTCCCCACATCCAAGCCATGACCCGCTCTGCCTTCCCTCACCTCCGTAACATCACCCGACTCCATCACTACCTCACCCTTCAGGCCTCTTGAGTTTAGGCCTGAAACTCTTGTTCATGCCTTCATTACCTCCAGGCTCGACTATGCAAACGCCCTGCGTGTCGGCCTTCCCAACTCCTCCCTCCACAGGCTATTCCAGAACTCTGCAGCCCGTGTCCTCTCCCGCACCAAACTCATGACCCCATGTCCCCCACTCTCACCTGACTCCATTGGCTCCCTAACCTTCAGAGGATCCATTTCAAGATCCTGGTCCTCACCTCCATGGCCTCGCCCCACCCTACCTCTGCGACCGCCTAACCCCCTACCAACCCGCCCGCTCCCTCCACTCAGTCGGCTCCGGCCTGCTCCACGTCCCCCAACCCACCCACCATTGGCGGGAGAGCCTTCAGCCACTCTGCCCCCAGCCTCTGGAACTCCCTTCCCCAATCACTCCACCTCGCCCCCTCCTTACCTCTTTCAAGTCCCGCCTCAAGACCCTCCTCTTTGAACATGCCATCGGCCACCCCCATTCCCCTCCCCTCCCTTCCCCCCCACCGACCCCAGCTCGGGTCCAAAATGCTGTCACTGTCCAGTGCCTTGGATCATCCTCCCAACGTGAAAGGCGCTATACACATGTAATCTCGTTATTGTTGTAATGTACAATATGAAAGAGGCAGAGGCTAGCTGACAATATCATAAATACTGATTACACAGGCCACAGATTACTCCTCACCAAAGAAAGTTGATCTTACTAAAATATTCTGAATCTTAGTGACTTTTAAAAACACGCACAAGCTGGGGATCTCCAGTCTTGACAAAACAACAACAACAAATTTCCAAGGCGCGGGAGGCCTCAGATAGAACATTATAGAGGTTAAAAATGTTAAATGAGATTGAAAAAGTAAGACAATAGGATAGAGAACAAGAGGACACAGGTGTAGAATTTAAAGGATAATTTCAGGACAGACACCAGAAAGGGTTTCTCACTCAAAGGGTAACTAGGGCAGGTTCCTAGACCAGGTGGCTGAGGGCTATTGATGGTGGGAGAGAGAGAGAGAGAGAGAGGAGGGGACGGTTCGAAGGAGATGAAATGAGATTGAATGGACTGAAGGGCTTTCTTCATGCGAATCAATCTTGTGAAAATCTGATGCCTGAAACCTGTTACTCTCAGCCCTCAGAGTTAGCAGTCTCCTCGCTGGTCCCACTCCCACCTCGGCTTCATCCCACAAAAGCTGTTAAAGTCAGGTAGTATTTGGAAAATTGTTAACTCTGCTCTTCACTGGTGTTTAACGATGAGAACTGCAGGATTGCAAAGTATCTCTGAATTTCTGCAATTCTGCCTGATCATAATCTAATGTGGAGTCCTGTAGCTCAGTGGTTAGAGCACTCGCCTTGCAAGCAAGAGACCTGGGTTCAATTCCAGGCAGGACGAAACCTTGGGTAAGTTTCCTTACTCCACACAGAGCCTAATAATAATCCCTGCAAAACAAAAACAATAATAAATTGGTCATTTTCAATCCACGACTGCTTGTAGGGCACTGCTATGCACAATTAGTTGCCGCGTTTCGCCCACAAATATACAGTCAATTCACTTTACAGCATATTCTGTGAAGTGCTTTGAGACGTCAAGAAGACGTGAAAAGCGCTATATCAATGCAAGGATTATTACTATTATTATTATTTGATCAAAGTGATCGAATTTGTGAGCAAAATGCTCTGACAGACAGAAGATTCCCAGCAATACATGTGCTTGTAGCTGTCTAACATTTTATCTTCTGTCCTATTTAACAAAAATCTATAAATGATAATAATCCTTGCATTTGATATAGCGCCTTATCATGTCATTAGAACGTCAGGATATACTGTAAAGTGTAATGACTGTGTATTTTGTGGAAGATTTTTTGTGGCAGCCACTTGTGCACAGCAGTGTCCCACACACAGTCGTGGAAGGATGACCAATTTTATTTGAGGGACTGTTGGGCAGGACATTGGGTGAAAGAAATTCCCTTTTGTTTTCACATAGCGCCATGAGATCTTCAACGTCCACCTGAACAGGCAGACAGGACCTCAGTTTAACATCTCATCCGAAGGACGCCTCCTTTGACAATGCAACAACAACAACAACAACAACAAGATTCCACTTATAGAGCGCCTTTCACGTCAGGAGGACGTCCCAAGGCGCTGCACAGTTGGGTCATGACCCGAGCAGGGGGGAAATGGTCAGGGTGAGGGGAGGGAAGGGAGGGAGAGAGGAGGGGGGAAATGGTCAGGGTGAGGGGAGGGAAGGGAGGGAGCGAGGAGGAGGAAGAGAGTCGAGAGGGGAGCTGAAGGCACGGTCAAAGAGAAAGGTTTTGAGACCGGCCTTGAAGGAGGAAAGGGAGGAAGCAAGGCGAAGGCACTGGGGGATGGAGTTCCAGAGCCTGGGGGCTGAGAGGCTGAAGGCCCGACCACCGATAGTAGGGCGGTTGGGGCGGGGGACGTGGAGCAGACCGGAGCCAGAGGAACGGAGGGTACGGGCAGGTAGGTAGGGGGATAGTAGGTTGGAGAGGTAGGAGGGAGCAAGGCCGTGAATGGCCTTGTAGGTGAGGATGAGGATCTTGAAATCAATCCTCTGGGGGATGGGGAGCCAGTGGAGGCGAGCGAGGGTGGGAGTGATGTGATCGCGAAGCCTGGTGCGGGACAGTACACGAGCTGCAGAGTTCTGAATGACCTGCAGCTTGTGGAGGGAGGTGGCGGGAAGGCCGGCGAGGAGAGAGTTCCCATAGTCCAGCCTTGAGGTGACAAAGGCGTGAACCAGGGTTTCAGCAGCGTGAGGGGTGAGGTAGTGCCGTAATCTGGCGATATTCCGGAGGTGATGGAAGGCGGTGCCAGTTGTGGTGCGGATGTGAGGGAGAAAGGACAGCTCAGGGTCGAACAAAACGCCGAGGTTCCTGACTGGCTTTGAGAGGTGGAGAGTGCAGCCTTGGATGCTGATGGTGTCAGCGCCTGAGGTGCGGAGGCGCTGACGTGAGCCAATCAGGAGGGCCTCGGTTTTTCGCACGTTGAGCTGAAGAAAGTTGTCTCTCGTCCAGGACTCGATGTCGGACAGGCAGGCTGTCAGGACATCGGTGGTCGTGGAGTTGAGAGTAGAGGAGGAAAGGTAGAGTTGGGTGTCATCCGCATACATGTGGAAGTTAACCCCATGTTTGCGGATGATGTCACCAAGGGGGAGCATATAGAGGGTGAAGAGGAGGGGACCGAGGACAGAGCCCTGAGGGACACCACATGAGACAGTACGGGGGGTGGAGGAGAAGCCATTTGTTGAGACGAAGTGAAGACGGTGGGAAAGGTAAGAGCTAAACCATTCAAGGACAGTGCCTTGAAGGTTGAGGTGGGAGGACAAGCGGTGGAGTAGGATAGCGTGGTCGACCGTATCGAATGCTGCCGATAGGTCGAGGAGGACGAGGAGACAGAGGGAGCCCTGGTCACAGATGGTCAGGATATCATTGGTGACCTTGACCAGGGCAGTTTCTGTGCTATGAGCAGCACGGAAACCTGACTGAAGGGGTTCAAAAAGAGAATGGGTGGAGAATGGGCAACACGCCCCCAGCACACTTTGGAGTGTCAGCTTAGACTATGTCACACTAAAACCAAGTTCCAACATGCGGCTTGAACCCACAACCTTCTGACTCAGAGTCGAGAGCACTGTTACTGCACCAGGCTGACATACATTCAAACATTTCCAAATCTGTCTGCCAAATCCTTCTCAATAACATGTTCCAGTTCACCATTTACATGCATTTTTCTGTGGGTTCAAGCAGAGGTCAGAGCCCACAAATATACAGTCAATTCACTTTACAGCATATTCTGTGAAGCGCTTTGAGACGTCTAGAAGACATGAAAAGCACTTTATCAAATGCAAAGATTATATTATTATTAGAAAGCAGGGAGCGGGAGCCATCAAGGAGACTGGGCCAGTGGTGAATGATCTCACTAGATTTCTGGAATTTAACAATTTAAAAATAATATAGCTAGAATTCAAACTTTATATAATTGTATTCTACACCGCAAGGTAGCACACTAAATATTGCTCCAAATGGGTCTAGAACTAAGAAAAGGGAGCGGGTGAGTTTACACATTTTAATCTAATCCCATTTTAGGTGTAGCTACTCTTAAAATTTCAGCACAAAATGTCCTCTTGCAAGTCTGGGCTACCACTGCTTCCTGCTTCCCCCTTAAGAAATGGACACACATATTCGTTGCAATTTCTCTCAGGACTTTAGAAATTAAAATTTGTATTTTAACTCAAAAATTTTTCAAACAAATCTTGTGGAGTCCTGTAGCTCAGTGGTTAGAGCACTCGCTTTGCAAGCGAGACACCTGGGTTCTATTCCAGGCAGGGCGAAACCTTGGGCAAGTTTCCTTACTCCACACGCCTAATAATAATCCCTCCAAAAAACCAAAAACAATAATTAAATTGGTCATTTTCAATCTACGACTGTTTGTGGGACATTGCTGTGCGCAATTGGCTGCCGCGTTCGCCCACAAATATACAGTCAATTCACTTTACAGTGTGTTCTGTGAAGCGCTTTGGGACGTCCTCCTGACGTGAAAAGCGCTATATCAAATGCAAGGATTATTATTATTATTATTATTATTAAACCTCTAACATGTCAAAACATGGAAATCAGCCATTCAGCCTGCCTCCGGCCCCTCCTTCCTGTCTCTTGAAGATGAGTGCTGCTGAGTACACTGTGCATTCTTCTGCTTTTCTCTTCAGATTTCCTATCAATATAATTTACACTAAATCAGAATGATAGAATATTACAGTACAGAAGGAGGCCATTCAGCCCACCGTGCCTGCTTTTGGAAGAGCTCTTCCTTTTCTCTTTGACCGAGCCTTCAGCTCCCCTCTCGACTCTCTTCCCCCTTCTCGCTCCCTCCCCTCACCCTGACCATTTCCCCCCTGCTCGGGTCATGACCCAACTGTGCAGCGCCTTGGGACGTCCTCCTGACGTGAAACGCGCTTTATAAATGGAATCTTCTTGTTGTTGTTGTTGAGCTAACCAATCAGTCCTACTCACTCCCCTGCTCTTTCTTCAAATCTTGCAAATTTTTTGTTTTCAAGTTCCTATCCAATTTCCTTTTGAAAGTTGTTATTGAATCTGTTTCCACCCTTTCCAGATTGTGTAAAATTCTTCTCATCTCCTTTGGTTCTTTTGCCAATTATCTTGAATCTATGTGCCCTGTAC